AGACAGTCTGACTTTCAGTGTCTGTTACCTATTGCTGTGTGACAAACCACCCTAAGACCTGGTGGCCAAAATCACCAGGGTTTCTTGTGGTTGATATGTTCTATGAAGTAGCTCTGAGCACTGATTAGCTGACACTGAACAGTTGCTTCTCAGGGAAATGCAGGATTAGACTCCTGGGAACCTCTGATCACAACATTTTCATCAAGTGATCAATATGGAACCTTATTTTATGTTTCTTTTTGGTTAAAAACACCTTATTTAATGTACTCTGTTGATTCAGTATCATTGAACTCATGGCCAACAGTAGTGTAATTCATGGCTGTAAGAAGCAGACCTAACCCATCTGTTTTCTCTGCAATGCGCATCCCAGGCTGGAGTCCTCAGGAGCGCTAGACAGCACTCCAGCAATATGCGTGGGGCCTTTTTAAGCAGTGAAATCACCAACAAAAAGCACAGAAGTGCAAAAATATGGCACTGAATAGACTGGGGATAGGACATCTGTTTACAATATGAGAGCTGAAACGAGAAGGCACAGCAACATCTTCTCTGACCTCAGCTGAGAAAATTGCTTGCATTGTTTCTACTGAGAAATGTCCTGTCGTTTTTATCTTCCTCCTCTTACTTTTTCGTTGGTTTTGAGCAATTTGATTACCTTATACTTTGGTCTCATTTTCTTCATATTTCTTTGTTTGGTGTTCATTGAGCTTATTGGGTCTCTGGAGTTACAGTTTTTATCAAATTTGGAAAATATTTGCCATTTTTCTTTAAATATTTTTGTCCCTTCTGCCCTGCAACACTTTGGAAGTCCAGTGACACATATATTAGGCCCCAGCTCACAATTCTCTGTTTCTTTATGCTCTCTTACCTGTATTTCATTTTGGATTTTTTTTAAAAAAAATTGTCATGTCTTTGAGTTCCCTAATCACTTATTCTAAACGTTCATTATAGTGTTAATCCCATCATCAGTATATGTTTCTCATCTCACACATGGTAGTTTTCATATCTAGAGTCTGATTGGGGTCCTTTTACATCTTCAGCATGTCTACTTAATGTTTGAGTGTGTATGTATGACTGCAGTTCTAATGGCTGTTTTACTATTCTTGCCTGTGCATTTAACATTTGTGTCAGTTCCGGGTTAATTGTGATGGATTGATTATTCGCTTTATGGGTTGTATTTTCATGCTTCTTGAATGGTGGGTATTAGTGATTAGATGATCCTTTAGATAATCCTCTTAGATTAGATAATCCTCTAATCCTTTCAAGAGGTTGTTTCTCTGGCTTCAGGTATCTTCTTCTTTTTTTTTTTTTTTTT